AGGAGGCAACATTGCCATTTGAGGCCTGCTTCTGGCGACGACACTTTGATCAAAAGGGTGCTTGCTTAGATCCTGTATCGCGAAGGGTTCCAATATTCGGTGAGGCCGTCGGTATCACACCGCAATCGTCTTTAATGATTGACACGTTACACACGCTGTACTTGGGTGTATTTCAACGGTACGTTGCCTTTGTGGTTTGGGCCTGTATATCGGAAAATGTGTATGTAATGAGCGGCAATGCAGAGGAGGTGTTGGAGTTGACACTTGCTCGGCTTTTCTTAGATCTAAAACAGTGGTACCACAGTCGGGGCATTCCGAAATCCGAACAGCTAGGGCAACTCACAAGCAAAATGGTAGGGGTGAAAAAAAAACAGGAGCTGAAAACAAAAGCAGCGGAGACTGGTACAATTGTGTCCTGGGCAGCTGGCGTGGCACAGAAACACGACCGCTTGAAGAGTAGTGTGCAGATGTTTGTTGCTGGGCGTTGCCTCGTGGATTACATGGACATTTTAAAACATGAGGGTCGTGCAATATCACGGCCCACGTGCCGACAGCTCATCGAGCTCGCCGTGCGACACGTGACTTTGATGCAGGAGATGGGCGCTAACCTAGCCCCCAAATCCCACCTTTTCGTTCACCTCACCCAGAGGATTTTGCGGTGTGGGAACCCACGCTCTTACTCGACGTTCCTCGACGAGTCGTTGAACAGAGTATTGTCAGAGATCGCAGCGTCAGCTAATCATAGCAGGGCCACGTGGGAACGCACGATTTTCTCACGCGTTCATTTGTTGCCGCACGTGCTGCCCCACATGGCGTTTGCGCAGTTGTGACGAGTAGGAAGACTAGATGTTGCATCGGCATCGCATCAGACACCAATAGCACACACGCAAACAACGACAACATAAAACGAAAAGGCACATCAGAGTGCAACAAGCACCGCAGCATGACAATCGAAAAATGAGCATACGATTGATGAAGCATATGGCGATAAGGGTCAACGCAGCAAACAACAAACGACAAGCAGTAACATACAAAGGGGGTACGGCACTAAGTTCGCCCCCCCTCCCCCTTCCCCATGCCGATCTGGGGTCCACCTCCGACCCGAGAGATCGCTCTCGAGAGGCACGCGACCAGGCTTCGCAGCGCCGCCTTCCTCGCACGCGTTTGGGATCGGTCTGAACCCTGATCCTAGTCCTCCTCCTGCTCTCCTCCTCCTCCTGCTCCACCTCATGCTCCTCCTCCTCCTCAGCTTCCTCGCAATCCCTCCTCCTCCTGCTCATCCTCCTCCTCCTCCTCCTCCTCCTATTCCTCCTCCTCCTCCTTCGTATCCTCCGCGGGCCACATGCGGCGTCGCAAGCTGCCGAATTGGAAGGAGCTCGCTGCCACGATCCCCCCAGATGCAGCGGAGCGAGAGGCAGAATTTGAGAAGATGGCCAAGGAGGGGGAGGAGGAGGAGGAAGAGCAGGCCGCGGCAGAGGCGGGCGAAGGCTCGAGCGATGCATCTATCAGGAGGTGGCGCGCGGACAACTAGGTTCTGCTGCCTTGGGGGTCAGGGTGCGAATAAAAAGGGACATCGATGCATCGGAGGTGCATCGGCAACGCCACGGCGACCGTGATCGGATGCATCGAATCGTCGATGCATCGGCGCTGCATCGATCGCGCATCGGCCATGGCGTCGATGGCACCGAAACGACGATGCATCGGCGATCGATCCTTCGTCGTCCGCTCGGATCTGGCCTTTATGGGGCCTGCAGGTTCGGAGCCCGAGGAGATCCATGCAGAGTCGAGCGAGTGCGAGTCCCCCACGGCCGAAGCTCGCGAACGAAAGATGCACAAACTCGAAGCACGTGCACAGGACATGACCTCCTAAACGACATCTGACCTCCAGAGCAATCGTGGGGCGTGGGCAAGGGGAATAGGAACGGTTCGAAATTGTCTGTGGACCCCCGTGGGAGCGTGTATATTCGATCTGGTTCCGATCGAGGAGCGAGCCGTCGAAACACATCGTTGTGAGCAGGCTCGGCGCGAGCTCGAGCCTGAACGCGAAGCCCTTCGTTCGGGGGAGAATCGCGGTTCGGGACCATCCCGCTGATTTCAAGTTCGGCCCTTCCGAAGTCCGTTGCAACGAGGCTTCGGCATCGAGAGGGTCGGACTTTAAACCAGCGAGGCGATCTCATATTGCGCTTCGCCCACGAACAAATATTCCGAGGAGCAGCGCTGGCCGTCGCAGCAGCGGGGCGAGCAAGCCTCGCGAGAAGGCAGCTCAGCGGGCCGACCCGTGATTGTAGATATTTCAAGCTTGGCGGGTCTCTGCTAAGCCAACCAAGTGACGAAAGGGGTGCTTGTGCGAACTGTGTAGACAGAGACATATGCAGAGGCTCTGACACTGGAACACCTCTATATAGAGAAGCGCGACGGCGATCCGCACACATGAAAATCGGCGTATGCGGCGGGCAACTACTACTACTACTACTGCCACTACTACTACTACTACTACTACTACTACTACTATTACTACTACTACTACTACTACTACTACTACTACTACTGCTACTACCACTACTACTACTACTACTACTACTACTACTACTACTACTACTACTAACTACTACTACTACTACTACTACTACTACTACTACTACTACTACTACTACTACTACTACTACTACTACTACTACTACTACTACTACTACTACTACTACTACTACTACTACTACTACATCCTGTCCCGCTCCTCCCGTGGGTCATGGTGTCCCGATGATGTCCCGTTGTATCATGCGGTGTCCCGATGGCGCTCCGTGAAACTGATTGCGAGGCGCATCGCACTCGCAAGCGGTAGGCGACCACGCACTGTAACGATACCTCGCCAGATACACACAAGAAATTTGCACCGCGAGCATGGACTAAATGCAACGCGCTCGCGTTGGGCCGCGAGCGAATCACGCCAAATGCACATATCAGCCCACGCAAGGTGCAACCTGAAAATTTGCACCGCGAATGATGATAACAACGCAAAATGCACGCTGGAAATTTGCACCGCGAGTGATGATAACAACGCAAAATGCACGCTGGAAATTTGCACCGCTGGCAACAAAAAATTGCACCGCTTGGCGCTGGAAATTTACACCGCTGGCAACAAAAAATTGCACCGTTTGCTGCTCCGCGCGGCCAGACAATTTGCACCGTTCAAAACCAGAGTTTGCACCGCTGGGAACCAAATTTGCACCGTGGTTCTGGCGGTGCAAATTTTTACCGGCGTTTACCCCGTGGGTCCTAACCGTGGCCCAATCCGGCGTAACAGCCCCTCAATGGGGCTTAATCCGGTCTTCAAGAGGGGAAAAGCACAGACACAATGAATCGTCGACTCCCAGGAAAATATGGGAAAATATGGGAAGTGGGGGGGAAGACGACAACCCAGAGACTATAGGAATGTATGGGGAATCCGGTCATTTGTGTCCATTCATTTGTGTGTCTCAGGGCCCCTTCAGTTCTGGTCCTTCCGACTAAGACCTCCCAGCAGCTGCCTCCGAGCATCCCTGGGCCGAGGATCGGTGCACACGCCCCGTCTCATGGCGCCAACATCGCAGAGCGGATTTCGCTCGGAAAACAGTAGGATGGGCCCGGAGTGTCCCGGAGAACTTCTTTCCGGATTTCGACGTGATATTTGTTCGGATTGTTTGGGGCCAGGAATGAAGACGATAAACAATCCAAGGGCCATTCTTTTAGTTTTTCGCCCGCCGTTTCGGGGTTGTGCATGGACAGAAATCCACGCGGAAGTCCGCTGCAGCACGTCTGCAAGGGCGGTGCACACGCCCCTTCTGGCTCTCGGCCCCGGGGGGGGGGGCCCTGCCCCGGTAGGCCAGGGGCGGAGCCCGTTTGGCGTCGCTGCTCGCCAAGACTTGCAAGAGGGACCCCAAATCCCTTATGATGAATCACGCAGGAAGCCATACCTCCTCCCTCCTTCTCGTCCTCCTCCTCCTCCTCCTCCTCCCTCTCCTCCCTCTCCTCCCTCTCCTCCTCCAGGAGATGGGCATCACGCAGGAAGTCACCAGAGGCCCTGAGACCACTGCTTGCGCGGGCCGCCGGCACGGCACACCGCGTGGAAGGGCGCTCGCGCGCGATCCTACCCCAAAGCCCTTATGAACAGATCCCCCCCTTTAAAAACCGAACTCCCCTCCAAATGCGACCTAACATTCCGGACCCCCCTCTTCGAAGGGGCGCCTGAATAAACCAGACCCCCTTATATGCTCCAATCCGAAGAAGGCGCCATGATTCATGATACGCCGGACCCCCCCAGTTACAAAAAAGGCGCCCGAAAAAAACTGGACCCGGGGGACGATCAAAGAGGGATTTAAAGCAGGCGTCCGGGTGGCCTCACCTTAAGAGGTAGCCTGAAGTGGCATTGGGTTGGGGCGTCCTCACAGAGCAGCTGCCCTCCCATGCACGAGTACCGACACCGTCGTCGAGCTCCGGGAGCAGGAAGGTCGCGGCCGGAGGGAGCCGCGCGCCGTGGCGGCACGGGCCCAGCGTTAAGCCGGGCCTATAGGCCCGACCTGAGCCCAGCGCCGCCCGTCAGCCTGCCTGCCCGAGGGCGGGGCGCTCTGCGGGTCGCCGTGCTGCTCGGCCGCGGCCTCGCACACCGCAGTGCCGAGGAGGCCGGCTGCGAGTTGCGCCTGCGCTCGCCGCCGCGCGCGCCAAGCCTTGAGTCGGGCGTGTCCCTCGAGAGGAGAAATATTCCAAAATGTCGTTTTTAGTCTGGGGGCGATTTTTATATTATTGTTCGACTATTTTGGGGTATGTCTTAGATTCCGTCCAAAATCCGCCTGTAGGAGGACGCGCCCGACTTAAGCCAAGCTGCGACCAAGTCCTGGGCCGCAGCACCCCCCCTCGCCAGCCGGCAATGACGATGACGATGACGATCATCGGCATCGTCCTCGTCACCGTCTTCGTCATTGAAGAGGCCGCCCCGCTCGGCTCGGCTCCCCCCCCGCCGCCCAGAGGCTCCGTCAGCTCGACGGGCGACGGCGTCGGCTGCTGCCGCCCGGGCCAGGCAGGGCGCGGGCCCGCCCGCGCTTCGAGTCCCTTGTTTTGTGGGGCAGAGTGATTCTCACACAGTATATTTCTATATATATATATATATATGCATATACACATCTATTGTTGTTATTATTCTTACTACTATAATTACTATTATTACTATTATTATTTTTACTATTCGTATTATTATTATTATTTTTATTATTATTAGTCGTATTATCATTACTACTACTACTACTACTACTACTACTACTACTACTACTACTACTACTACTACTACTACTACTACTACTACTACTACTACTATTGTTATTATTATTATTATTATTATTATTATTATTATTATTATTATTATTATTATTATTATTATTATTATTACTATTATTATTACTATTATTAATAGTATTATCATTCTTATTATATCCGTAAGGGCTTCGCCCCCTGCCGCCGCCCCCCTCTCTATCATAATGGGATATAGCAGAGCTATATTGGGATGTTCGGGCGCCGTCATATGACATTCGGGAACGTCATGCTAGGGCGGCTGGCGATGAGCAAAACAGATTGAGATGCTGAAGTTGTTGTTGAACGCTTTGTTGCCTTCTTGGCATTTTCCTCCAGTTGTTCACTGGAAGCGCTCTGGGAACGGCTGGGGATTGCTTCAGGCAATCTCTGGAAAGGTTTTTTTTCCTGCTCTGGAGAAGAGTGGCGCCTTTGGGCAGCTTCCGCGAGGTGGATTCGTAGCGTGGGGGGTGCGCGCGAATTTGGTGTAATTTGCAGGGGATCGTGGCTTCGGGGACGCGAGCGTGGCGTAATTTACGAGGGATCGTGGCCTGGGGGGCGCGACAGCGGCGTAATTTACTAGGGATCGTTGCCTCGGTGGCGCGAATGTGGCGTAATTCACGCGGGATCGTGGCCTCGGGGGCGCTAATGTGGCGTAACTTACGAGGGATCGTGGCATGGGGGGGTGAATGTGGAACCCACCGCCGAATTCTCCAGAAACGGGGGGGGGGCAAAAGAATACCAATGGAGCACATATCCCAATACAGAAAATTGCCGTTTTTCTGCTTTGGAGAGGGGGAGCGCCTTTTCGGCAGCCGCCGACAGGCGGATTCGTGGCCTCGGGGGCGCGCCCGCTGCGTAATTTACCAGGGATCGTGGCGTCAGGGGCGCGAATTTGTTGTAATTTACGAGGGATCGTGGCCTCGGGGGCGCGAACATGATGTAGATTACGTGGGATCGTGGCTTCGGGGGCGCGAACGTGGGGTAAATTACGCGGGATCGTGGCCTCGAGGGCGCGAATGTTGAATAATTGATGAGGGACCGTGGCCTCGGAGACGCAATGTGGCGTAAACTAAAAGGGATCGTGGCCTCGGAGACGCGAATGTGGGGTAATTTGCCAAGGATCGTGGCCTCGGGGGCGCGAATACAGCGTAATTTGCTAGGGATTCTGGCTTCGGAGGCACGAAGCTCCGGTATTTTTACGTGTCCCACGCCCCCCCAGAAGTTCTGAGAACCCTCCCGGGGGACGCTAACCAGGCTGGTGTTCGGCTCCCCCCCCTCGCGCGGACAGTAACAATTTACAGCAGGAAGCAGAAAGCGTGGGGGGTGCGCGCGAATTTGGTGTAATTTGCAGGGGATCGTGGCTTCGGGGACGCGAGCGTGGCGTAATTTACGAGGGATCGTGGCCTGGGGGGCGCGACAGCGGCGTAATTTACTAGGGATCGTTGCCTCGGTGGCGCGAATGTGGCGTAATTCACGCGGGATCGTGGCCTCGGGGGCGTTAATGTGGCGTAACTTACGAGGGATCGTGGCATGGGGGGGTGAATGTGGAACCCACCGCCGAATTTTCCAGAAACGGGGGGGGGCAAAAGAATACCAATGGAGCACATATCCCAATACAGAAAATTGCCGTTTTTCTGCTTTGGAGAGGGGGAGCGCCTTTTCGGCAGCCGCCGACAGGCGGATTCGTGGCCTCGGGGGCGCGCCCGCTGCGTAATTTACCAGGGATCGTGGCGTCAGGGGCGCGAATTTGTTGTAATTTACGAGGGATCGTGGCCTCGGGGGCGCGAACATGATGTAGATTACGTGGGATCGTGGCTTCGGGGGCGCGAATGTGGGGTAAATTACGCGGGATCGTGGCCTCGAGGGCGCGAATGTTGAATAATTGATGAGGGACCGTGGCCTCGGAGACGCAATGTGGCGTAAACTAAAAGGGATCGTGGCCTCGGAGACGCGAATGTGGGGTAATTTGCCAAGGATCGTGGCCTCGGGGGCGCGAATACAGCGTAATTTGCGAGGGATTCTGGCTTCGGGGGCACGAAACTCCGGTATTTTTACGTGTCCCACGCCCCCCCAGAAGTTCTGAGAACCCTCCCGGGGGACGCTAACCAGGCTGGTGTTCGGCTCCCCCCCCTCGCGCGGACAGTAACAGTTTACAGCAGGAAGCAGAAAGCAGCACTCTAACAATGGGCACTGGAAACTGGAACTGGTGCAGGGAGCAGCAAGCTGAAGCCTCGCAGCCTGATGGCCCCGCAAGGGGGCCGGCGGATTCTTCCAGGGCGCGAGCCCCTGGGCTCGGAACCGCAGCGGGACCAGAAACATTTCGCTAAGCTTCTAGGGGGGGCGGGGGGTCTCGGCCGATGACATGATGCGGTCAAAACTGTAGCGCCGCCCGTGTGTGGGTGTCCACTTGGAGCGCCAGCGGACAAGGAGGAGGAGTGGCACGCAGCTGGCGAGCCAGCGGAGGGCAAGAAGCGTAACCACCAGACCAAGAACCGTGGAGCACGAGGGGGAGCAGCTGCGCTCCTCTGCGTGAGCTCATCAGGAGGAGCGCCCTCGGGAGAGGCCCTGCCTCAAGGAGAGCTGGAGCCACATCGACGGGTCTATTGATCGTCTCGGCAGTTGTCGCCCCCCATCCCGGACCCCCGACGCCGTGATTTGTTTCACACTTTCGAAAACCCCAGGAGTCCCGACCCATTCCCCGGCACAAGTTTCTCATCCTGAGTCCTGTCTGAACAGTCCTGGGGCCCGTCATTTTTTTCACGACGCGAACGGGTTAGGGATGGCCGCCCCACCACCACCACATCCTCTTCGCCCTCCCACCGCCATCGCCCAGCCCCGGCTCCGACACGCAGACGGTCCGGGGCCCCACACCCCGCACTCGCTGCGCCTCTGTGGCGCCACTTGCGCGGAGCCTGCTGCCAGTTGCCAGCACCAGCGCCACTACACCCAAGACGCCGAAGGAAGAGGGGGAGGAGGAGGAGGAGGAGGAGGAGGAGGAGGAGGAGGAGGAGGAGGAGGGGGAGGAGGAGGAGGAGGAGGGGGAGGAGGAGGAGGAGGAGGAGGAGGAGGAGGAGGAGGAGGAGGACCCCTTCGGTTCAGCGGGGGCTCTGGTTCCCACGTCAGGGAGCATGTCCGTGGCCGAGGCTCCTCGTGGCCAGGAGCCCCCTTTGTTCTTCACGCAGCGCTCCGCCTCTGAAATCCGAATCTGCGACGAAAGAGAACATCGCGTAACAAAAACACGACCAGAGCTCGAGACCCCATCTTTATGCGCCAGTTTTCGAGCCAGCGTGACCTGTGATGGTGCTGGGGCCCGAAGCTGGGCGAAAGCGCCCAGTGCAACAAGAAGATGCAGCCCAAAGACCTCGTGGCTCTGGTAGCGCGCCGATTGCAGTGAGCTCCGCCGCCATCACCATGGGCGCTACCCCGCACCTCGCGCGGCGCAGCTATGCTTAAGTCGGGCACGTCCCTCTGTACAGGAGCAGTATGCAAGAATAGTGAGGAAATAGTCTGGTGACGATTGCTCGTGCTCTTTTGATTCGTTTTTTGATTTTTGATTACCATTGTTTGACGTGTTTTCAATCTGCATTCCAAGCTCCTCCTGTAGGAGGACGTGCCCGACCTGAAGCTATGGTGCGGGGCGCCCCCGCCGCCCCCGAGAGGCGCGCGCAGCCGGCAGCGCCTGCGGCTCGACGAGCTCGCGCAGCTCGGGCGGCAGCCGTCGGGGGCGCCCCGGGTCGCCGTCGGAGCCAGAGGCTCGGAAGGGTCCTTGCTCGCCTCGACGACACCAGAGCTCCGACGATGAGATGTTTTCAATCGCGGTGTGTTTCCTCGATTTCGGCTTCTGGGGCGATTTGTCGGGCCCTGGGGCCATGAATCGAAGAAGAAGAAGAAGAATCGCCATGAACATAAACTTGTGGCGCTCCGCGCGGCAGGAAGGGGGGACCAGCGCGGATCCACGAACCCCGCGCAGAGCGCCAACAGTCTATGTTTATGGCGTTCTTTTCATTTTTTTCCACCGAAGAGAGGAGATCCAGGACGAAATGCCCTGCCCAGGGAAGCGGTAAGCACGCATGGAGCCGAGGAGTGAAAACGACACCCTGGTCGGATGTCGGGGGACGGCGACGGAGACGGCGGCTGCGGCGGCGGCGGCGAGTGCCGGCCGGGGAGCCCGGCGCTGCCCCGCACGGGTGGCCCTCGGCGCGGAGGCCGGCACGGTGGCATCGGGCCAGGGGCAGGCGCAAGCGTGCCACGCATGCGCCGCAAGATCCACAGTCGCCAAGTGAGCGACGAAGGGAAAAAAAGACACAACAGAAAACAAAAAACAAGCAAAAACACAAAAAAAACAAAACACAACATGAAAAACACACACTGTGGACAAAAACACACACACATGGGGGAAAACACACACACACGGGTGTTTTTTCCCACAGACGGGTTCGTTTTCACCGGCGTTGGCGTGCAAGTTGCCCGCGTAAGGTCGCGCATCAGCGCCCCCGTTTCCAAGGCAGCGCGCCGGCGGCCAGCGTAGTCCGCCGCGCAAGGTCGCTACGTCACCTCGCGTAAGAGCCGTTTCTTTTCGTCGCTCCTGTGCGACACGTGCGCGGCGCGCGCCAGGTGCGCCACGTGCGCGGCGCGCGCAGGGTGTGCTAGGTGCGCCAGCGCACGTGTGACAGCGCGCATCGGGAAACATGTCGGCCCCCCACCATCCCTGTACAAACGTTGGTGCGGAGCGGTGGCGGGGCTGTCAGCAGGGTGTGCGGCGTGCGCGCCCGCAAACACTCTGCGCGTGCCTACGCTGGTGGGCCCGTGCGCACCGCACAAGATTCGGACGCCCCCGGCATCCCCGTCACATGTCAAATAGCCAAGAGTGGTCTTGTGGCGCCCGCGCATGGTCCTCGACGGGGATGGATTGGCCTGCACACGCGGGGCGACGTGATGGCCATCCCCGCCATCCCTGTCAGAAGCAGTGCAGAGTGATCGCGGGGCCCCGAAGCATGATTCTGATGGTGCCGCAAAGTGCATGCTGCATTGTGTTTGGTATGGATGGTTGGGGAGTCGGCATTGGCCCTGGTTAGTCGCTGGTCCAGTGGGGGAGGGGGGAACAAGAAGGTTCGCAGAAGAAGCACCTTATGCCACCTCCGCCCCAAGGCCTGGTGGGATTATGCAGCTACGTGGCTAGCTTTATACACCGACCAGTCGTGTTTCCGGAGTGTTGCATAAGCTCTGCAAGCGAGCAGGTCGTAGGATACCAGCTCATCGCTAGATGGTTTTTTTCAACGTGTAGCTTTGTTTTTGTTTCAGTTTGCGGGTAGATCGATAGATGGTTGGATCAAGCCGTACACCGTTGAAAGGGATAGACAGTTGCGAGCTGAGCGAATGGATTGGTAATTCGATCGATGGGTCAAGGAATATCCAGGCAGATCCGCGGGCACGAGGTTCAACCACAATCCTTGTTTGGGAAGGGTGCCCGTCTGTATTTCTCTACGTTCGGACTATTGTTGTGCGAAAATAAGAAGGGTACCCTCGAATGTTCTTCAGTGTGCTCGTCCGTTTGTTTCATTTGACTGCGATGTTTGGGCAGATACATTTCAGTGGCCGTCACTTGCTATGTCTGCGTGCGGCCTACAGCAAATGCGCGCTCCTGGATGGCGCGGGTATGCAGGCATGGAGGTGTGTGACCTCTATGTGCTTTTGGTCGCGTTCTGACCGGCGAGAGGGCTCACGTTCTTGAAGGGCGTTCTGGACACATCTAGACTGCTGACACCTTGATGAAATGATCGGGACCCCCTTGTCGTCCGATATCGCAATTCGTCCGTGGCACCCGACGGGCCCCCTTGGGATCTCCACCACTTCCCCGGGGCCAGCCTTTCATCTTGGGACGGTTGCGGAAGGTCCTGGGGCCAGGAGACGGCCTCTACGGGCCGAGAACGTCAAACAACCGGCCGTGCTGTTTCGGGGAAGCGCCGGGATTTGTCGGCGGCCAGCCCGGGGGGGAAGTGAGAGGGGGCGGGCCTTCTCAGAAGGCTCGGAGGTCCCTTTGCCTTCTGAGAAGTGTTTTAAGACTTCCCCGAAGACTCAGGAAAAAGCTTTCAGATGGCCGGGAGGCTTCTGAGAAGCCCGCCGCTTTCTAAGAGGGCCTTCTCCTTGTCATTTGCCCCCTCGTTCGCCGCCGACTGCGAGGGGCGGAGGCGGGTTCCCCAAAGTTCCAGGGGTGCCGCGGACCCCCCAACGAGTCCTTGTGCATCGAGCGGTCCTGTTGATAGTTTCCACGCGTGTAGAATGGAGGATGGATTGGGTTCTTCGCTGGGGAACTTTTTGGGTGAGTCGCCCGCACCTGAGGGGCGGAGGAGGAGAGAGAGGGAGGAGGACGCGGAGGAGGAGAGGGAGGAGGAGAAGGAGGAGAAGGAGGAGGAGGAGGGGAGGGAAGAGCTGAAGGAGGAGAAATAGGAGGAGAAATAGGAGGAGGAGGAGGAGGAGGAGGAGGAGGAGGAGGAGGAGAGGAAGGAGGAACAGATAACAGAAAGAAAAGGAGGAGGAGGAAAAGGAGGAGGAGGAGGAGGAGGAGGAGGACGAGGAGGAAGGAGCGGAATGAGGCGAGGAAGGAGGGAGGAAATGGGAGGTGGACTTCCTCATTTGTTCGCCTTCCCCGAACGACCGACGACTCGCGCTCGCCGATGCGCAGGCGCCGCCCCGCCTCGAGCCCGCCGCTCGCGGCGGCCCTCCGTCTGGCGACGGCGAGCGTGGCCAGCTCGTCGCCGAGCTCTTCCGGGAGCTGGCGCAGCCGGGGGAGGCGCCGCGCGCCGCCCGGGAGGTGCCAGCCTCTCTCCTCCCTCCTCCTCCTCCGCCTCCTCCTCCTCCTTCTCCGCCTCCTCCTCCTCCTCCTCCTCCTCCTCCTCCTCCTCCTCCGAATCGTCATCTGATGTGCTTTATCCCGAAGGAGGAACGACCTGAGGATCTCATGGATCTAGCACGTGCCCCAGAGGAATTACGCCCTTTGGCCCTCAAGAACACGGACTCCAAAGCCATTGCCAGTGTCATAAATATGCGGCTACGGAGGATTGCGGAAGACCGATGTCATCACGTACAGCGAGGGTTTGTCCGTGGTAGGCAATTCACAACGCATATTGCAGAGTTGGACACATATGCGCGCATGGCGGGCGGTCATACGTGTGCGGAGTCTCTGATGCCTGTCTTTATCTCATTTGATGTGTGTGCTGCATTTCCGTCGATGAGCTGGGAATGGATACGAGTTGTCTTCGAATTTCATAAGCTTACCACTGGCTACTTACTGGCCATCCAAGCCTTGTACCATGATATGCAGTGCTGGTCCTGGTGTGGAGACTCCCTGCTCTTTCTCTTCCATGTGAGTGCGGGTGTTGCACAAGGGTGCCCGCTCTCTGGTACCCTGTGGGCGCTGACAGTCAACCCTTTTCTGCACCACCTGTGTAATGGCAACATGGAGGGCTATGGGTGTGTCTCGGGGTTGAATGGCACGGATGTCGGGGAGACTGCGTTTGCTCTGGTTACTGGCCCACCCGGCATGGCGCCTGTACTGGCTGGAGCGTGTGCTGACGACGTGGAAGTTGTTCTACCTGCACTGAGTGAAGTGACCCGAGTTGCCCCTGCATTTGATTCTGCCAGGATGCTGGCGGTCCTTAAGCTTCAGAGCAAGAAATGTTTTGTAGTCCCCCTCTGGACCAGAAGCTCCCCCGAGGTGCAGGCCCTTGTAGAGGCCCGTATCCAGTCTGTTGCCCCGTCATTTTCGAGTTTTCCGATCAGGGGTCGGGCCAAGTACTTGGGTATGCTGTTCGGTCCAGAGGCCATTCTTGATGTGCAATGGGAGGCTCCAGGCACGAAGCTTGGTTATCGGGTCCGTCTGGCCGCCTCCACTCGCGCCCCCGCCGAAGCCGCCTGCAGGAACTATAAATCATGTTTTCCCCCCGTTCTCTCTTACCTCGTGCAGTTCTTTCCCCTCCCGTCCTTCCTCCTCCGTAAAGAGCACTGCCTCTTGCATAAGCTTCTTCGGCTCCCTCCGAACACGTTTAAAAGGAATGAGCTCCTCAGTCTAAGACCCTGGCTTCCAGGATCGGCGCCTGCGGCGATGATGGTCCTGGGACGCGTCTCTGTGTGGCGGTTCGGGCTCTCAACGTGGACAAAAGCTAGAGAGTTCGCTCAGCTTCTGAGTGAGTGGCACTGGTGGCACGGATCGAGTGTTAGGCACGTCAGGGGCGAATGGTCTCCGCCGTGTTGGGCTATGAATCGATCGATCGCCCAATTTGTGGCATCTGTTTTGGACCCCTCCCCCTCCGACCTCTTCCCGCATGCAGCCCTGCAGGAAGCAAATACTCGAGGTGTAGCGGAGCAGCTTTCTGCTGCTGCGGAGGGGAGGCGGCCGAGAATCCAGCGTGTCCTATCCCGATCCCTCTCCTCTTCCCTCTTCCCTGATCGCCTTCACCTCCTCCTCTCCCGTCGACTTCACTCCTGGATCCCCTCCAGGAGACGTCCTGGCCCACAGGAGATGGAGGCGCGATGGCTCGCTCTGAGGGCTGTGCTTGCCCGATCGCCTCCGTCTTGGGTCTGGGCGCATTTGAAGACGCTTGCAGGCGGGTGGATCACGACCGTCCGCATGCTTGTCTTGGCGCGCCGAAGCTGCCGATTGGGCTGTGAGGACTGTCCCGATTCTTTCCCTCACTACCTTTGATGCCATCGTCTCATCCATCTGCTCGCTCGACGTCGCCCTCGTGTCTTTCTGCCGTCCTGCCCCATGGCTCGGCTGGGGGTCGGCCTGGATGAGGACTACTCGAATGGTTTCTCTCGCGTGGATGCTCACCGCATGTGTGTCCTCGGGTTTCATTTTCACCATAAGCTGAAAGCAGAGCAGGATGCGGCGCCTGGCTCCGCCCGTGACCTCGGATCTCACCTGCAGATTCTCAGAGGGGTCAGGCTCTCATCGGGGGCCTGATGATGGAGGATGGTTTCCTGAAGGCACGTGCGCTCCTCCTCCTCCTCCTCCTCCTCCTCGTCCTCCTCCCCCTCCCCCTCATCATCATCACCACCATCATCGTCATCATCATCATCATCATCATCATCATCATCATCATCATCATCATCATCCTCATCCTCATCCTCATCCTCATCCTCATCCTCATCCTCATCCCTTTCATCATCAGCACCATCATCATCATCACCACCACCATCACCATCACCATCATCATCAGCATTATCATCATCATCATCCTCATCATCATCACCATCACCATCACCATCATCATCATCATCACCATCATCATCAGCATCAGCATCATCCTCATCCTCGTCATCATCACCATCACCATCATCATCATCACCATCATCATCCTCATCATCATCCTCATCACCATCACCATCATCACCATCATCATCATCATCACCATCATCATCATCAGCATCATCATCCCTTCTCCTCCTCATCATCCCTTCTCCTCCTCCTCCTCCTTCATGCTCCGAGCTCTTCTGGGCGCGGGCGCGGCAGGGGAGGCGCCGTCCGCCGGCTGCGCAGGCGTGGAGGGCCCCAGGCTGGACCTCCGACGATATGGTCTTTCCAGATCCTGGCATTGTTCCTCGGTGTCGGCCCAGTGGACCCGTCGTCGGGCCCCAGGACCATCGAGCGTGAATCCGGGGCGTCCGCAAGGGCTTCGCCTTCTGCCGCCAGCCCCCTCTCGATCGGAGTGGGGCAGGCGAGAGTTAGTTTGGGATGCCTGGGCGCCCATTTGAAGCAATAGCGGAATCGGAACCTCCATGCGAGGGCGGTTGGCAATCGTGATGTCATTTACAAGGGCTCGTGGCTTCTGGGGCGCGAACCTGACTTTAATTTGCATGGCATCGTCGCCTCGGGGGAGCGAACCTGGCGTAACTCTAAAACGGATTGTGGTTTCGGGTGTGTGACTTCAGCATAATTTGCGACACATTCGAATCTCGTGAGCGCGAATCTGGTGCAATGTGCTTCGGATTCTGGCTTCGGGAGCGCGAGAATCTGGAGTAATTGTTGGCAGTGGTACTGGCCCTGGCAGCGCCAATCCGAAGTTCTACAAAAAAAGGCTACTGGCATCGCGAGCGCGAATTTGGAGCAATCATGTACAAACCCTTCGGGGCCACGAATCTGGTGCAATTCACTACGGAGTCTGGCCTCGGGAGCGCGAATGTGGCGTAATTGGGAACGGATTATGGTTTCCTTGGCGCGAATCCGGGATGGTTTACAACAGGTTCTAGCCCGAGAGCGCGAGTCTGGCGCATTTCGCAATAAGGCATTGCCTCGGGGGCGGAAGTATCATTCTTCAAGTGTCCCAGCCCCACCAGAACTTCAAGGCACGCGATTCGGGGACGGTTACCGCTTCTCTTTCGCCCCCCTCCGTCGAGCGGACATGAAAAAAATCAGCAGGACACAGAAAATAATGATTGCAACAGTGGGGATTGATTGATACCTGGTTCTGGCGCAGGAAGCAGGACACCTCCGCCGCGCCTGATGGCCCAACAAGGGGGCCGACGGACTTGGATCCCGGAAGGGTTCGACATGCCCTAAGTGGCTTATGGGGAGGTAAAGATCCGGCTTCAGTGGGCTCTGCCCACATAGCGGAGTTGTCGAACCCACCCAAGCCATTCAGGGCGCCTGTAGCCCACGTATAAACCAGGGCCCTCTTGGGGCCTCCCGGCGAACCATACAAATCAGCTTAACATTGATCGGTCTTATCTGCTCGCGTGCCTTTCCACACGTATATCCCCAACCCTCGATACCCGCCCTCTTCGTCTTCGACCGTAGCACCATGCCACGTGAGCGACGCAGAAAAAAACGGAGCCGTCTTACCCGACATTGGCGCGTATGCTGGCCGCGTAAGGTCGCGCGTCAGCCCCCTCGATTCCAGCGTAAGGTGCCGCGCTGGCGGCCCGCGTAAGCCTCCGCGCAAGGTCGCGATGCCACCTCGCGCAATACCCGCTTTTGACCGTCGCTCACGCGCAGTGGGCGCAGCCCCACGAAGCAGGGGGAGGAAGAGACGCCATGGGGGAGGGAGAAGGTCAGGAGGGAAAACAACACACAGACACAATGAATCGTCGATTCCCCGGAAAATATGGGAAATATGGGAAGTGGGGGGGAAGACAAAAACCAAGAAAATACCTGAAAATGTGGGGAATCCTGTTATTTGTGTCTATTTACTTGTGTGTCCCAGGGCCCCTTCAGAAGGTTCGAGCACGAGAGAGAGAGAGAGAGATTTGCAGGAGGGGGGGGTTCGGAGCGGGCGGGCGGACCCCCACGGGCAGCTCGGGCGGGCGGGCCCAGACGGCCGGGGTCGAGCGGGCGGGTCGCTGAAGCGTCGCTTCGGCGGCGAGCGAGGGGGGGGAAGTGAGAAGGAGAAGGCCTTCTCGGAAGGCGGCGGGACCTCTCAAAAGCCCCTGCGTGTCTTCGGAGAAGGCTTAGAAGATTTGTCAGGAGGCCGGGGGACTACCGAATCTTCTGAGGAGGCCTTCTCCCTCTCGTTTCCCCCCTCGCTCGCCGCCGATCAATCCAACATGAATCGCGATGACGTTTCGAGCGATAGCGCGATTCCCAGGTAAATCGTGGGGACATCTCGAGCGAGAGCGTGATTCCTGAGTGTTGGGGGGACCAGCGTCGCACACGGCAACAGGAAGGCTCAAGCACGGCTCATCCGAGGATTTGGCTTCAGTCGCCATGGCCTGCAAGCTGGCCGCTGCCATTCCTCAGCTCTCCGCAAACTCAGAGATCACCGCATCGTGCACGATGCATGCTGCTGCTGGTGCTG